GTCGGAAGCTGTCATTTTGTGCACACATTCCTGTCAGCAGGATTCTCCTTCAACAGCCGGACACGATACCCAGCAGAAAAGTACCACTTTCACTTTTAAAATTGAAATCAACTTGGTAGTTTCAGTAAGCTTCAATTAAACAAGTTTTAAGTCTGAAAGAATGAACTAACTTTGCAAATAACAATTTAAAAGTACTTTGTTAGGAACCTGGATAAAAACGCTTTTCTCATATGGGAGGCTTCAGCCCTGAGACCAGGTCTAATGTAAACTGAGTACCTAGCCTAAGAGGTTATCGAAGATAGGAGCTTAGAGGCAGAGCACGCTATCTAAATTGAAGTTAATGTTGTGAATTACAAAAGCACTATTCAGACATGTGAAAGTGCATTGGGGAGGAGTGGGATCAGAGAGAAAGCCCTCCCCTCTACATATATTTTTTCACAGCTCCAGTTTGCAAACTGTAATCACAGGATTCAGCACTTGTAGGCCTTCTATTATGATTTGAGATAAGCCAGCAATCTGTCCAAATCCAAGACCAACTTCTGACTCCTAACATGGGATCCATTTTAACTTTTTGTTTATACTTAATAATGCTAATAATGCACATTGTTAATCCTAAAAAGGTCATAGAATCATAGAGTTGGAAGAGACCACAAGGGCCATCGAGTCCAACCCCCTGCAAAGCAGGAAACACCATCAGAGCACTCCTGACATATGGTTGTCAAGCCTCTGCTTAAAGACCTCCAAAGTAGGGGACTCCACCACACTCCTTGGCAGCAAATTCCACTGTCGAACAGCTCTTACTGTCAGGAAGCTCTTCCTAATGTTTAGGTGGAATCTTCTTTCTTGTAGTTTGGATCCATTGCTCCGTGTCCGCTTCTCTGGAGCAGCAGAAAACAACCTTTCTCCCTCCTCTATGTGACATCCTTTTATATATTTGAACATGGCTATCATATCACCCCTTAACCTCCTCTTCTCCAGGCTAAACATGCCCAGCTCCCTTAGCCGTTCCTCATAAGGCATCGTTTCCAGACCTTTGACCATTTTGGTTGCCCTCCTCTGGACACGTTCCAGTTTGTCAGTGTCCTTCTTGAACTGTGGTGCCCAGAACTGGACACAGTACTCCAGGTGAGGTCTGACCAGAGCAGAATACAGTGGCACTATTACTTCCCTTGATCTAGATGCTATACTCCTATTGATGCAGCCCAGAATTGCATTGGCTTTTTTAGCTGCCGCATCACACTGTTGGCTCATGTCAAGTTTGTGGTCAACCAAGACTCCTAGATCCTTTTCACATGTACTGCTCTCAAGCCAAGTGTCCCCCATCTTGTATTTGTGCCTCTCATTTTTTTTGCCCAAGTGCAATACTTTATTGCAGTGCAATAAAGTGTCACATTGCTATTAAATCAAAACTAGTGTCTGTCTTTCCTTTTGCGCGTGCGCTCTCTCTCTTTTTTTCATTGCCTCCTGGTGCCTTTTTCTCCCTGTCCTGTTACCTAGTTCATCTTTCACAATTCTCTCTCTCACGAATTCCTCTACTCACAGCTTCTTCTACCTTCTCACTTACTCTACCTTCCTGTCTTCTCCCCGTCTACTTCCTTCTGCCGTTGACTTTCCTATAGGCATTCCATCACACTTCCATAAAGCAAATAGAAACAGTTTAGAGTCCCTCTCCACTAAACTCTTCTCCCAACACAGCTGGTGCAAAATGCAATGGCCAGAGTGTGCACCAGAACAAGACACTTTGAGCATATAACACCAGAGCCGTGGCTGGGTGATCTTGCGCCCCTGGCAGAACCGTCAAGATTGTGTCCCCCAGCCACAAATTGGCTCTTCTTTCCGCCTCTCCTCCAACCCCCAGCCCCCTGCACCCATTCAATTCACCCTCTATTTAAAACCATTTCTTATGAGGCAATAATCAATATTTATGGACATATTTTTAGCCAGTTTTGTGCCCCCCCATGCCTGCGTCCCTGGCGGGGGCCCACCTCACCACCCCCTAGCTATGGCCCTGTATAACACTAACCCTGTCACTGGCTGCCCATTAGTTTTTGGGCCCAATTCAAAGTGCTGGTGTTTTGGGGCCCAATTCAAAGTGCTCTAAAGCCTTACTCGGCTCAGGACCTCAATACCTTAAGAGCTGCTTAACTGACCAGGACCCTGCACTTGTCATTGGGGTCCCTTCTCTATGCCCCCCTCCCAGAGAGGTTCGGAGGGTGACAAGAAGAGAACAGGCCTTTTCTGAACTCCCCAGAGAGGTTTTCCTGGCACCATCGTGACATGTCTTTAGGCGCCAGGCAAAAACATTCATCTTTACCCAGGCCTATGGCTATTAAATAATCAATGGCCTGTGAAAGCGTGGGGGAGAGGACTGGTATTACGATGACTATTTCATTATTAGGCTGCCAGTGTGCTTTTTATTATGTTTTTATCATCGATGTTTCGTCATGTGTTTCTAATGATGTACACCTCCCTGGGATCTTTGGATACAGGGCGGTATATAAATTGAAAACTGCTACTACTATAGTCATATACACAGCATTTCCCCCTTGTATCTCACCAGAACACATGAGCTTGGATGCAGAGCCTTTGTGGGGCTGGCTGGGGGGGGGTGCGTGTGGTCTGGGATGTGAAGTGGCAACACTGCGTGTCTAGGTTAAGCTGTGGAAAGCAAAGCAGAGGCAGGACAACGTGAGGCACGAGGAACTTGCTAGCTATAAAGCAAGATGCCTACTATATGGATGCCCCTTTTTGGTCCCGCAGAGAACTTTTCCCCTGGTCCAGTGCTATTGCAGGTTGCATGCAGTGGGGTGAGGATGTGATGTCCTCACTCGCTTCGACTCCCACATTCTGCAGCAGCGCATTCTTTAGCATATGTGCCACCAGGGTGCAAAGATCCACCCAGCACCCCCAAATTTAGTTTAGCCCCCAAATTAATTTTTATTATGCTTATGTCTGACACCATGCTTATGCCTTATCTCGTTTATGAAAGGGAGGGAAAGGAAACAAACTTTTTTATTTGCTCATTTATTTACAATACACTTATACTTAAGTATACAACAATACCACACTTAAACTTATAAGTATTGTTTAGGCACCTACTTAGGAGAAACATCAGTTGTGTCAAAGGAGCTGCTCACCCCGCTGCCGCATAGCAGTGTAGCTAAATACAATACGTAACAAATTTTGATGTAAGAGTTAATTTCGCGTGCACGGCGCCGTTGAGAATGACAAGCGCTGTCGTTGAGTCTGACAAGCGCCGCAATTGTGAATGACAAGAGCCGCTGCTGGTGCGGCGCATCTTTGTTAAATGAGTGCACAAAGTCGAAAGTCTTTTAGTGAAACAGTAGGTATACACTTTGGTAATACCTAGGTATATACGTATTTTGTTTTTCTAGCTTGATCAAAATTATTTACTATTTCATAACAGGTAGATAGTTAAGAGCTTAGGTGGCGCTCCCCAGAATTCAGCGCCTGGGTGCCCCGCACCTCTTCCACCCCCAGGTAAAGACGGCCCTGTTCTGCAGGCACTGGGCTCCTGCCACCACTTCCTGGGCTCCCTGGCACTGCCATGGTGAGCAACCAAGAAGCCCTGCTGCAGCATCTGTTTCAAACATGCTTCTGCTTCTGGGAGAAGGGTAGAAAGCCATGGAAACAGAGAGTGAATAGAGCCCCTTTATTATACAGAGCTCTCTTGGTAGATATAAAGCTATAGAAAGGTGGAGAATACGGTCAGCCAGAAACATGCATCTAATTGAAAAAGGGTTGTGCCTTTCTCTGGGCACATTGCAACCTTTGTGGATAAAACAAGTGCTTCATCAGAAGATTGTGTCCCATCCCAGATGTCAAATGGAGGGTCCCTTTGGTGTGGGCAACCTTAGCTGGAGTCCAAACTGTTGGCAACAGCTTTGCCCAAAGCTGGTGGCCTCATGACCCAACGGTCTCTGATATAAATCAAGGGACAGTTGACTTAAATTTGACAAAGCAAGAATGCACACAGAAGTTCTCTTAATAGTAAAGGCATAACTGCTTTGTATCAACCTGGGCTTGCACTTTGCCCAAGAGCACAAGAAGCACATTGCTAAAGTCCAGTAGCTTTATTTGCAAGAGCCTCGTCAACTAGCAGGCACCAGTGCTGCACGGTACAGCATAATTTATCATCTCCCCACTTCTGATATAAATGATATACAGAGGATGTAATTGTACTAAAGTTACATGAAGAGAACTTTTAAAATAAGGTTGTCTACAACTGCTTGTCCCCCCCCCCCCCCCCGCATTGGATCAGGGGTGGGGAACCAAGCTTCTTCTGCCTAATTTTATGCTGATAGGGGAAGCCTGGAGAGAAAATTTAGGAAGGCAGGATGAAAAAGAAAGGGGGGGGGCAGTCAAGACAGACAGAATGGTGGAAAGCAGCGAAGCCTCTCAAGTCCATCACGTCTGACCTCTGGCAAGAGCAATCTGTTCCTCTCCAGGCAGAGAAAAGAGATGGCCTGGCATTTATAGGAACATTTCATGGGGGGTGGGGGTGGAATAGCTTTAGGTTGTGGGTAAATAGCTAAATAAAAAAATAAATGTAACTTATTGATTAGTGTCAAAAGGATGTTAAAGGATATGTTGACAGTTCAAAGGGGAGTCAGGAGAAAACTTGCTTCACCAGCAGATCTGTAAGCAATTAGGAAATCAACCTTTGGTGCTCTGAAAGTATACAAAAGTTAACCGTGGAAAAGAATGTATATGCTTGCTGCAAATAGTGAGATGATGCAACATTAGTTATGGGAGCGATCTGTCCAAATGTAACACTTTTAGGTCATTTTCAGTAGGAAAGATTTAAGAATGGGTTTTATCTCCCCCCCCCACCCCGGAATGGCTTAAAATAGTGATTCCCTTGGGTTGCACACCCTGTTTGATGCATTTGTTGTTGAGAACTGGCGCATCTGGGACTCCTGGGCCAGGTGAGAGGGACGTTGGCTTTGCCTCTTGGCGGTTTGAGAAGCATCCCTGACCTTTGCGGGTGTCCACACACTTCCACGTCGCGCTCCTGGGATCGTGTGGGGACTAAGAGACGGCCGAAGGCGTGAGACGTAAGATCAAGGCCTTTTGGGAAATGATCTATAATGGAATTAAAAGGGTATTTAAATATACCTTTCTGAAAAAACCAGAGGCCTTTCTCTTGGGTATGGTCGGCCAACTGGTGTTAAAGAAGGATAGAATTTTTTTAATGTATGCTACGACAGCAGCAAGAATACTCATCGCAAAACATTGGAAGACACAAGATTTACCCACCCGGGAAGATTGGCAGATGAAGATGATTGACTACATGGAAATGGCAGAAATGACCAGCAGAATCCGAGATCAGGGAGAAGAGAAGGTGGAAGAAGATTGGAAGAAATTCAAAGACTATTTACAGAAATATGGTAAAATTAAAGAAGTTTAGAAAGAGACTGGTATTAAACAATTTGACTTTGCATAAGCTGTTTTTAGATTATGTGTAATATATTATTATGAAAAAGCAGGTAATGTTAAATCAGAAGGATTTGCTAAAACAACAAATTAAAATAGAATGCAAAAAGGGAGGCGAGAGGAAGTCAAAGGAACAAGTTAATGAAAGGATATTTTGGAAAGTATAATTTTATGTGCTGTTTTCATTTTTATTCTTATTTTTTTATACGTTTGATTGTGCATCTTTTTTTATTTGTCTTGTATTTTTTCTTTTTTGTATATATGTAGTGTGTAGTGGTTTTTGTTGTCATTGTTATTGGTATTGTTGAGTTCAATGTCAAAATTTCAATAAATATAATTATAAAAAAAAGAGACGGCCGAAGGCGGATCTGGCGAGCCCCTGTGCACGATAATCCTCGATTACGGGGAGCAGAGGGCTCTTCTGAGGGAAAAGCGGAGCGCAAGAGGGGGGAGAGGGCGCGCTCCCCGCCAGAACCGAAAGGAAGACCCGGTTCGGGGCGGGGGGAAGCCAGAGCAGCGGCTGCCCCTTTCCCTTCCGCCCGAGAGAGACCCTTTTCCCGCCCACGGAGAGCCTCGCGCGCGGGGTCCGGAGGGGGAGGGAGGCAGAGAGCAGAGGGCGCGCACCCCCCCCAGCCACGCATGCGCGCCTCAGCCGCGCCTGCTGGGCGGTCCTTTCCCCGTGGCTCCGCCCCTCGCCCCTCCCGCGCGACACAGGGCCGCCCGTCGCAGCGTCGTCCCGCGGGGCTGGCGCCGGGCGCGGCCACGGAAAGAGCGAGCGAGGAGCGAGAGCGCGCCCGCCCTCGGCTGACTGACTGACTGGGCCGGCGCGGCGGCGAGGGGCAGAGGCGGGAGGCTGCGCGGATCCGGCGGCGGCGGGGAAGCGGCGTCTTGGTGGTCGCCTCCGCCGGGCGCCCTGCGAGGTAGGCCACCTCTCCTCCCGCCTCTGCCGGGCCTCGTCCCAGGCCGAGGGGGAGCCGCGCGGCGGAGGCAGGTGCAGCGCCTGAGGGAGCGGGGTCGCCAGGGAGCCTCCTCCTCCTCCTCCTCCGCCTCTTCTGCTGCTGCTGTCCAAGGTCCGCCGCGCGTCTCCCGGGCGGGGAGGCAGCCGGGCGAAGGCTGGGGCGGCAAAGCCCCTCGCCCGCCCCGCTGGCCGGGCCTGCGCGGCGCTCGCTCTTCCTCCACGCGCCGAGGAAGCGGCCGCGTCCACACGTGACGGCGGGCCGGGGAGGACGGAGGAGGAGGAGAAGCAGCAGCAGGGAAGGGTGGAGGGGCCGCTTTTAATCCCCCAGCACCCAAGCTACCCCTGCAAGCAGAAAGCCAGCACCTCAGGGAGAAGGCGGGCGCTGCTGGGCGGGGGGGGGCGCGGGGAGAGTCGGACGGGCCTCGTTGGCCTTTTCCACTCGGGATCGGGGCCGCCTCGCCCAGGGCGCTGAGCGTCTCGCAAAGCGGTTTGACTCCGGAGCGTCTCCTTGGGACCCTCGGGAGGCAGCTGGCTCTTGGCTTCTGCGCACCTGCTCTCCTCCTTCCCTACCTGTTTACACGGGGATCCTTTCCTCCTCGCTAGCGAACATGTAAGAGCCTGAATCGCAGCTGATTCTAGAAATCTATACAGGATAGCTGATTCAAGTTGGGCGCTCGGTGACTATTGCTTTAGTCAGCAGCATGTTTGCAATATGGATTATAAAAGAGTAACAGTTGGTCAGATTAAATGTCTTGGTTCAGCTGCGAAAAAGATCAAAATGAGCTTAAAGTATTCAGTGTTAAAATTACTTTAACTTTGTTTAAAATAGGATTAAAATAGAAACATGGGTTTAGTTCACTTTCCTGAGGATAGATTCAGATAAACTCTCCAGTGCACCTACTACTGATGCCAATAAATATTTTGCTTTGAGGAAAGAGAGTTACAAATAGGGAGAATTCCCCTGCGTTTCATAGAAAACGTGAGCGCCTGTAAATACAGTGAGACAGTTACAGATAGAGAAAACCTTCTCAAAACATTATGGCCTTTATTAAGAGTGATTCCGGCTTTGGCATTAGCAGAAACAAGGACTCTTATGGTATACACAAAAAGCAACAAGAGAGGGGCAACTACAGCTACAGCTCAGAAATTGGGAATTATGAATTGAAATACATGTATTTTGTAGAAATTCCCATAGGGCATTTCTTTGCTTGTTTTCTTGAGGAATAGCAGGACAACAGGAATGTATTTATGTGTTTCTGTTTATTATGAAAGAAGTAAATCCAAGGGTTAAAGATTTTGGGGATACTGGTAGAGTGCAAAATTAATATAAATATCTGGTTTATTTATTTATTTATAATATATATATTCCACCCTTCTTTGTGCCATTCTGGGTGACTAAAAACAAATAATAAAATTTAATAAAAGCCAACAACAAGCTGGGCACAATGACTATTTCTGTAGTCAGCAGCATGTATGGGATGCTTATATATCAGTATTAGAGTTTTTCTGAGTCTGTAATTGTTTTGAAATATTTCAGGGTAACAGAATACTTTCAGTTCTTTGAAGCTCAGAACGACACAAAGTGTAAAAATTTTAAATGTGAGATGAATGCTACTTGGGTGTGAGAATGAGAAACTGTATTTTTGAATGCTCAGTGAGGTCAAAATGTAACTGAAGTTGGGATGTTGAAAATATTACTCTGGCAATCCATTTGTATTTAGAATTGCTTACTTTCCAATAATTTCCTTGATTTTCAGGTAGATCTAAGTTAAGCAACCTTTCTTTGTTTAATGATCTCTGTGTCACTTACTCTGTGTTGCTCTCCATTCTCCATGTTTCTTCATCCATACAGTAGCCCTCTAGTCTAAAATAGATCACTTTAATTCCCGTTTTACACTTGTGAATCTAAGGGTGCAAAGTAATAACTTGGTTATGGTCAAGTAATGAATTGTTGTTTTTTGTTGTCATTTTTTCAAATTACAAACACAATCATTTTACTTTTATATCACATTCTCAATAATTTTCCTAATTTGTTTATGTTGTTTTAATTATACATCACTTTAGTATTTCAATTAATAGAAAAATGACTCATAAATAATAATCCATGGTTCAGTGCTGCATTTACTGAGTCAGGCCAGTTCTAAGGAGAAATTGGTTATAGGAGCCAGTGCCGTGATATGTTGCAGGCAAAGCCTGGCAAGAGATGAGGTGGGGAGAGGGAGTTTGAATCCTGGGACGATGGAGGCCCTTTGGGTGGGTGCTTCCCATGTCTGGGAAATTGGCAAATTGCCTGTTCTGGATGGGAGCTGCACTCCTTCTGAAGGAGCAATCTCTTCAGAGCAGTCTGTGTAATTTGGGTGTACTCTGGGATACATCTTTGTCACCAGCGGCCTCTGTAGCTACATGTGCCTTTTAGCAGTTTCATCTGGTTCGCCAACTACATCCATTCCTGGGCAGGGATAACCTGACCACTGTTCCATGCACAAGTAACTTTGGGGATGGATTACTACAATGCACTCTATGTGGGGCTACCCTTGGGTCTGGTTAGGAAGCAACAGCTTGTGCAGAATACAGTGGCAAGAATACTGATGGGAGCTTCTGATTGACAACATAAGGCACCGTTATTAAAACAGCTACACTGGCTGCCTATCTGCTGCTGAGCCACGTTCACCATTATTTTATTGATTTTCAAAGCCCTAAGCAACTTTGATCCAGGATACATCAAGGTTCACCTGAACCCTTCTATTCTAGCTCGAACACTGAGATTATCTGCAGGAGTATATTTGTGTGTTCCTTGAGTTTGTGAGGCTGATATGACAACAGTGAAAAACTAAACCTGTGGAGCACCCTGCCAATAGAGATTTAGCAGGAACCTTTCTGCATTGCAAGTGGTTGGACTAGATGACCCTTGGGGTCCCTTCCAACTCTAAAGAGACCCCTGACCATTAGGTCCAGTTATGGCCGACTCTGGGGTTGTGGCGCTCATCTCGCTTTATTGGCTGAGGGAGCCAGCGTACAGGGTCATGTGGCCAGCATGACTAAGCCGCTTCTGGTGAACCAGAGCAGCGCACGTAAACGCCGTTTACCTTCCCGCCAGAGCGGTACCTATTTATCTACTTGTACGTTGACATGCTTTCGAACTGCTAGGTTGGCAGGAGCAGGGACCGAGCAACGGGAGCTCACCCCGTCACAGGGATTCGAACCGCTGGCCTTCTGATTGGCAAGTCCTAAGCTCTGTGGTTTAACCCACAGCGCCACCCGCGTAAGCACCTGCTAAAACCCTTCCTATTCCACCAGGCCTATGCAGGCAATTAAGAGTATGCCCCCTCAGTGGTCTGTTGTTTGTTTTAATTTATTTTTGCTTTTAACATGTTTTTAACTTTTTTATAATATTATTGTTTGGTTTTGTTATATTGTTGCAAACTGTTGTAATATATCTTTATGAGATAGCAGTATATAATTTTTTAAAATAAATAAATAAATTGTATGCCATTTTCCCACCACATAGATGTGCTCAAAGCACCTGTTTTTTTCTTCTTCCCTGGTTGGCATTTGTCTATCTTAGGAAGCAGTGGAAGACTGCACCTTCAGGGGTGAAGTCAAACTGTTGGAGAGCTGTGGCTATACAGTCTGATATGGGAGAGACATGTTTTGTTGCAGCTGGGACAGATGAAGGTGTCCAGTTGTGTTGATGCAGCTGTGCCATGGTGTTTCTTCTCTCTGTGCTCCTG